TCACGCTATAAGGTGAAACTGTCCTAATCTAATTGCAACGCTCGAGTCACATCTGACACATAATGATCCCCTTGCTCGATAATCAAACTATACACCCCCTAGTATAATGAGAGCGGACACCGAAACATAATGGAGTGGGTCCTCCACCACTAGACAGGAATGTTCCTAGACAAAGACCACTAAGCAACCAACTGTGTAAGACGTACAACAGAAAAACACCTAAATATGCCTAGTGTGTCAAATGAATAATCAATATTACAACACCTCCTCTGTATCATTTTATTATGCATGTATTAATGTTTACCCCATCCCACTTTTCCTTCTGTACCCCATCATCCTATGAAAGACAAATAAAAATTGTCAAATTGAAAAAAAAAAAAATCTAACTGTCTAGGGTCCCCATTTAGGCTAATATATCATGTCCCGATAGGAGTCATGTGCTAACTGCTGCATAGGCATCGGCAGAATTCCATCGGTGGGGTAATGTGCTGGCTGCATTCTGGCTTCTCTTTTGTTAGATTATTATTGGAAAATCAGAGGGGGCATTGCATTTCTGCTTTCTCTATATCAATTGAGTTTAACAGTGGAACTGTCACATTTGAGGTGTTTTTTTACATAAACATTTAAACAACATTCCTAAACTAAAGCTGTAAACATGGCCCACGTGCGCTTGTGCTCATATGGCTCTTTTCTGCAGATCCTATTTACCATATTCACCATAGTAAGAGCTTAAATATCATTTACTGGAGTGAAGGAAAAAGAACTGCCATATTTTTATTCCTCTTCAGCTCCGTCAGGACAAGGGGTTAAGCAATGCTAGTGAAGGGGTTAAAGTGCCAATGCTAATATAGGGGCTCATCAAAAAGCAGAATCCAGGAATCCTCTTATCTAGATTACAGATATGTGCATTTCCTAATAAATGTTCAATATAATAGAATTGTACATATTGCACTATTTCTAATATTAAGCATAATCCATTTATTTTTATTTCTGCTGTTGATCCCATAGACAATATGCAACAATGTATTAATGGATTTTATACTAGTAAACAAAAAGGGCACAATTGCAGCTCTTTATATTTTTACAATATCTTTTTTTGGACTGAACGGATAATGTCAAATACAGAACGGTAGAGAATTGTGGTACAAAAAGGCATCTAAAATTGCACAGGTTTTGTGACAGAACAGATTTTTTTTTAAATTAATTTTATTTTATATACAGACATGTAGTTGATGAGATTGCACTTCTTTAATTTGAAACCATTATTTTGAATATGTGAATCTCTCCTAATGTAAAAATACATGTCATCAGACAAGACCTGCGCTCTGTTTTAAAAATAAAATTCCAGTATTCTTTGGCAAAAAGATCTGTCCCTCTCCTATACTTGCAGTAATAATGAGATTGCAATGCCTAGGACTCTTCAGTGCCTCCTATAAAAATTAATTGTGCTGTCTAGTTTGTGGGCCGCAGTTTGGATGCATAAAGGGACACTATAGTCACTAAAACAACTTTAGCTAAGTAAAGTAGTTTTGGTGTAAGGATCACTGCTAAGTTTTCTGCCATTTAGTAGTTAAACCGTTTAGTTTATGCAGTCCTAGGCACACCTCCTTGCATGTGACTTACACAGCTTTCCTAAACACTTCCTATAAAGAGTCATCTAATATTTACACATTTCTTATCTCCTGGTATGTTAATAGCTTGCTATACATTGCAGGAGCCTCCTGTGAGTGACTGAAGTTCAATTTACAGAGCAGGAGATAAAAACGTCTGAAGTTAACATCTGATTGAAAATGAAACTGTTTGTTTTTTTTAATGCAGGTTATGTCAGTCACAGCCAGGGGTGGTGTGGCTAAGGCTGCATAATCCTAAACAAAAGTGATTTAAACTCCTAAATGGCAGAGAATTGAGCAGGGAGATTGCAGAAGCATGATCTACACATTAAAACTGCTTAATTAAACTAAAATTGTTTTGGTGACTATAGTGTCCCTTTAATGTTCTTTATTTGTTTGCCGGTGCTCCAGCTTGTCTGAAAAAAAAACTATACCTTTTCATTCCTGAAATAATATACAGACCTTGCTACTAAAACACACATGTAACATTTGGTGCTTAAAGGTTTTAGTATGAGTAGTTTATTTAATTGCATCTTAATATGTAGGAAATATCTTTCTTTTTACAGGAACCCACAGCTGGTGCTACAGTAGAAGAGTCGGAGCAGAGCTTGGATGAACTCATGGCTCAGATGAGGAATATGTAGATGGACTGTAAAGTTCATGTCTGGTCATTTCGTCTGCTTGGGAAAAGAAGGCTTGCAATCCATGTACTTCTAAAACTACTACTACTAAAATGTTCTAGTCCGCTGATATGTAGCTGGGTCTGTTAGAGCTATTTATTTACAGAAATGCTATACTGTATATTAATGTTGACTAATAAAATCATGAAGTTTAAAATTATCCAGTGACTCATTATAATATTCATTATAAATACAATAACATTTTGAGACATAATTTTTGAAGATAGGATTCAGTTAAAACTGTGTGAGACATATCTAGGAATATCCATTATACCAATTATACAGGGCATGGTTCAATGTGCACTAGGTGAAAAGTCTAACCTAACCAGCCTATTTTAAACCTGAATAACAAAATTAAAACAATTTGAGAAAGATGTAGCAGAACATCGAGCAGGACAGGAGTGGTGGGTAGTGACTGACTAAACAATAATTGCAAGGAGAACCTTCCTGCCAAAAAAGACACAACAGAAGTGAAAACATAAAAACAATAAAATTTGGGAAGTGTATTCAAGGATGACCAAGTGGCCTTTCAGATTTGCAGTAAAAGCCCCAGGGGGTAGCCAACCTTTGGATGAAATGAGCTAATAGAGTTGAGACAGCTGGCGAGAATGATGGCAACATTTTGTTGAGCCAAAGAATGGTCAGAAAAATTAACAAACAAGCAGGAACACTTTCTAAAAGGCGTAATGGCTTCAACATAATTGAAGGCACAAACAACAAGCGAGATTAATGTTAAGAAACCCTCCCAGCAAAGGAACTTGAAACAACACGTTCCTGATAACTACAAATCCATTTAATGTATAGGCTCAAATTAAGCATATTGCAGCACCTTGAGCACTGGGAGCGCATGATTGTTCCATACTACAGCATGCACAAATTCCTGGATGTTCAGATGCCAAGCCAGCTAACAGTAGAAGAGCACCAAAAGCGCTGAAATCTGATAATTGCTGATAAACCTATAACCTGAAAGAGTTTCAAAATGTGAAGAAGGTTAAAGGTCTGACACATAAGGCTAACCCCCTAGAACACCCCCCCAGATACAGATCTAACACATAGGGTTACTTCCAAGCACACACCTCCAGATACAGGTATATCAGGGAACTTGTGCTGGAAGAAATGACTTGCTTTTATCTGCGTTCTTGAGGGTTAAAGGACCACTATAGTGCCAGGAAAACATACTAGTTTTCCTGGCACTATAGTGTCCTGAGGGTGCCCCCACCCTCAGGGACCCCCTCCCGCCCGGCTCTGGAAGGGGGAAAGGGGTTTAAACTTACCTTTTTCCAGCGCTGGGCGGGGAGCTCTCCTCCTTCTCTCCTCCTCCGTTCCGCCCCGTCAGCTGAATGCGCACGCGCGGCAAGAGCTGCGCGCGCATTCAGCCGGTCACATAGGAAAGCATTCATAATGCTTTCCTATGGACGCTGGCGTGCTCTCACTGTGAAAATCACAGTGAGAAGCACGCAAGCGCCTCTAGTGGCTGTCAATGAGACAGCCACTAGAGGATTAGGGGGAAGGCTTAATCCATTAATAAACATAGCAGTTTCTCTGAAACTGCTATGTTTATTAAAAAATGGGTTAACCCTAGCTGGAACTGGCACCCATACCACTTCATTAAGCTGAAGTGGCCTGGGTGCCTAGAGTGGTCCTTTAATGAATGCCAGCATTTCTCTTACTTCTGCTGCTTTGTAGATTCAGATTTTTGGTTACCTACAAACCAACCATCGGGTCTTCTCCTGACCTGCAAAGGACTGCAAACTGACCAAGTCGTGATTGTTTGCAGTATTCCAACACTCCTCCTGCTGCACTGGGATCTCTCCCAGCAATGAAATAGTAAGAGTACTTTTCCTGCAACTAATGTTTACTCTGTCCTGTTATCCATTATACTCACCTGGAACTTCTGCACGCTTTTCTGCATAGCTAGTTGCATCCTGTGCAAACCCACTGTGTTCCCCCTAATGGCTAAAGACATCGTTACAGCCTTCTACCGCTGTGTCTTCGGTGTACTCTCAGCACCATCTTGAGGTCAATCGCAAGTACTGCATTTCACTTAGAATTGTACAGCTTATTGTGTTCCATTAATAAACCGCTATTTGGAATGATACTGATAGTCATGTCAAAGACAACTGTCCCCTCCACTGTTTGACTAAAGTTGCTTGCGAATGGCAGAAGGATCCTGTTATATACTAAAAGTAGGGATAGATTTTTCTCTTTTTTTTTTCCTCAAGGTATTGAAAAGATTGTAAGAAGCAAGTAAATCAACTGGAAGTTCCGAGGTACCCTCATTTCAATTTCCAGAGTCACACACAGGTCTCTTCTGGTGCTAAACACCAGGAACTTGGCATTCAAACAAGAGGCCATTAGATGTGTTTCCAGGACCCCATACCTAGATCATCTCTAGATGACCCGCTTCCCATTTGTCTGCATCAGGAAAGTGGATTGCCTACAACACCACAATCCAGAAAGTTTTCCTCCCTCATGTTGCTTGATGGTGAATTCTTCCAGACATGTTTTCACTTTTCCAGAGTTAGATATTTCAGCATTATAATTAACCCCTTAAGGACATGTGACATGTCATGATTCCCTTTTATTCCAGAAATTTGGTCCTTAAGGGGTTAAACCAGTTTAATTTGACTGTCTCTCTCTTCTAGGACTTTGACAAACTGGCTTTTGAAAAGGATGTGTCCTATGACAATGCAATGCTGAAAATCCTACACTTGTTTTCCTGGCACTATAGTGCCCTGAGGGTGCCCCCACCCTCAGGGTCCCCCTCCCGCCAGGCTCTAGGGGGTGGAAGGGGTTAAACTTACCTCTTTCTCTAGCGCCGGGCGGGGAGCTCTCCTCCTCCTCTCCTCCCTCTTCTTCCGTCACCGGCTGAATGCGCAAGGTGTGTGTTTTTTATAGGTGTTGGTTACAGCTGCCCTGCCCTATAAAAAACACACACCAGTTCTGGGTTTGCTTTTCACAAGAAGCATTGCCTGATGTGAATGATGCCTTGCACAAAAGAACTCTCAGAAGACCTACGATTAAGAATTGTTGACTTGCATGAAGCTGGAAAGGGTTATAAAAGTATCTCCAAAAGCCTTGCTGTTCATCAGTCCACGGTAAGACGAATTGTCTATAAATGGAGAAAGTTCAGCACTGCTGCTACTCTCCCTAGGAGTGGCCTCCTGTAAAGATGACTGCAAGAGCACAGCACAGACTGCTCAATGAGGTGAAGAAGAATCCTAGAGTGTCAGCTAAAGACATCCCTGTTAGCGAATCTTTAATACGTTAAACACTAAACAAGAATGGATTTCATGGGAGGATACCACAGAGGAAGCCACTGCTGTCCAAACAAAACATTGCTGCATGTTTACAGTTTGTACAAGAGCACCTGGATGTTCCACAGCAGTACTATGTGTGGACGGATTGCTATCATCGAAGGAAAAATGAATTCCCACGTTTATCAAGACATTTTGCAGGAGAACTTAAGGCCATCTGTCTACCAGCTGAAGCTCAACAGAAGATGGGTGTTGCAACAGGACAATGACACAAAGCATAGAATTAAATCAACAACAGAATGGCTTAAACAGAAGAAAATACGCCTTCTGAAGTGGCCCAGTCAGAGTCCTGACCTCAACCCGATTGAGATGCTGTGACCTCAAGAAAGCGATTCACGCCAGACATCCCAAGAATATTGCTGAACTGAAACAGTTCTGTAAAGAGGAATGGTCAAGAATTACTCCTGACCGTTGTGCATGTCTGATCTGCATCTACAGGAAACGTTTGGTTGAAGTTATTGCTGCCAAAGGAGGTCGAACCAGTTATTAAATCCAAGGGTTCACATACTTTTTCTACCTGCACTGTGAATGTTTACATGGTGTGTTCAATAAAAACATGGCAACATTTCATTCTTTGTGTGTCATTAGTTTGAGCAGACTGTGATTGTCTATTGTTGTGACTTAGATGATGATCAGATCACATTTTATGACCAATTTGTGCAGAAATCCATATCATTCCAAAGGGTTCACATACTTTTTCTTGCAACTGTAGCAGTTTCTCTGAAACTGCTATGTTTACAGAAAAAAGGGTTATTCCTAGCTGGACCTGGCACCCAGACCACTTCATTAAGCTGAAGTGATCTGGGTGCCTATAGTGGTCCTTTAAGCTTTGTTGCATTAAAGTATCTACTTTCAATGGTTGTCTATGAAGATTGCATGGCTATGTGTATGATTCTTCAGCAATGGGTTGAAATAGCCTCTAATTAGAAGAGATATTCACATACTTTTGACCAAGCAATGTTTCTAATTTGTATTAAATCTACAGTCAGTGAACATCTACACACATTGGGGACCATGTTTAAACCATGACTAACAAAATGAATATAGAAGTCTGTAGAATGTTCCTGTTGATTCCATTGGTTTCCTTATTTAGAACATTGCCTGCAATAGCATTATTTTCTGTTAACTTGTTAAAAAAAAAAAATCTCCTTTATTATACTGTATTGTCATCTAGCACAGATCTTTTTTAATAGAGCACACAAAAATGACATTTTTAGTTGAAAATGAATTTAATAGTTTAGAAAATAATACAAATCACATCAACATGTTGAAACTGGTATTTGACTCTACATTTAAATTGATATAAAAAAAAAATCTGGTATGTAAAATATACAAATAAATATCAGGTTTTTTTTTTTTTTTTTTTTTTGCACAGAGATAGAGTAATAAAGTAAATATTGTGGAAAGTGCATTTGAAGTGAGTATTCAAAGTGAAATGCACATTCAAGGTCCAAATCGCTTAACTGGAATAAATATCTGTCTGCTTAGATAATTTGACTTCGGCTAGTTTCACCTAAAATGTAACATTTAATTTGAGTTTTACTTTAGTGAGCAACCCTGTATGCATGACAATAGTGCAATATCACAGTCTAATACTTTTCTGTAATTTAAATTAAAACTTACGTGTGATCATATAGCTGTTGACATTGTTAAAAGTGGGTTTAAAGTGTTTTCTTTCATAAATTACTTTTACCACTAATGGCTAACATTTGGCACTGTAGGTATCTGTGACTTTTTTTTCCTTGAAGAAATATATTAGCTGGAGAACATTTTTACCTCAGAATGTACTTTGTATGGTAATTCATTCAGAATATTTCACTCCTCAACGTAAATGGCATCTTTGGAGAAACAGTCATATTTCAGTCTTCAGATACAATAAAGACTGCTGACTGCCATCTGCATTTTACTGAATATGGCTCTGATGTATCTTTTGTTTTTTATTGTCCATCACTGTGAGCATTTTTCACTAAACTGTTAATTTTTTACATTTCACAACGAATTCAAAGTATCTCTATTTTCCAATTCAGTTATTTTGGTCCTAAAATTTACATTTGCTTTCAATTCCCAACACGTTAGTGAATAACATTCTATATATTAAGGTAAATGTTTGGGCCTGTGTACATGTACCAATGTTTTTTTGTCACGACTTAGTATTTTTAATTTTCTTTAGTTCCTCTTCTAGTGGGTTGATTACTTGGTGGTTCTTTATTTTGCTTACAAGGATTTTACCACTGCCATGCTAGCAAAGCAGGCAGCTAGCTTTCTAGCATTATCAGGGGGAAAGGACTAGAGTTCTAAACAATAGAGTACCAATATGCTTGTTGTAATGGTTCATTAATGAAAACACATTTCATTTTTATTTATTATTGGCCTCACTTCACACACAGATCCAAGCAATACGGAATCTCGTCATTTCTCATCTTCATGAATACAAGTGTTCTGTTTTTTTAATTCAAAGTTCTTATCTCTTTAGATATAGTGTAGGTAAAAACCATAAACCACATTAATATCTCCATCCCCAAAGTCACATTAAGAGGAGTGCAGCACAGAAATGTTTTACCCTTTGTACAGATGGATACAAAACAAAGCTGGCTATACATCTTCCAAAACGCTATTTATCTGACTGCAACTGATGGATATTATTTTTCTCGGGAACAAATCCCTACAATGGCGTTAGTGCCCAATTCTGTATCTCTCTTCATTCTTAACAATCACCTGAAGATACAATCTATATTATATCTAATATTTGTATCTCCAGTTAAAGCTAATCTTAGTCTCAAAGTAAACTGGCATAATTTAATCACTGTTCCCCAGCGGCGTACATACCATGGTCGCAGGGGTCGCAGCTGCGACCGGGCCCGTCACTCCAGGGGGCCCGGCCGCCCTGCGGATTCCCGCAACCGGGTACCAGCTGCCACATTTTGTGGCCCTGGCCCGTGCGGGAAACCGCCAGGGCCGCATGTTAAGGGGTCCATCGGGTGGCCCATGCTGTCAGGGCCACCCGATGGACATGGATTGTGAGGGGGCCCGGTCAGCGATGTGCGCTTTAAAAGCGCAACCGGGCCCCCTGTGATGGCATCACTGCTGGGAGGAAGTGACTCCCCGGTCACTACTCCCAGCTATCAGGCTGAGCCCTCACTGGACCCCGGGGAAAGTAACAAAAGGTAGGAAACATTTTGTGTGTGTGTCTCTGTATGTATGTATGTGTGTGTGTTTGTGTATCTGTATGTGTGTGTTTGTGTCTCTATGTGTGTGTGTGTCTATGTATGTGTGTGTCTCTCTGTTTTGTGTGTGTGTGTGTCTCCCTGTTTTGTGTGTGTCTACCTCTGTGTGTCTGTGTTTCTGTATGTGTGTCTCTGTATGTATGTGTCTGCATGTGTGTATGTATGTGTCTGTCGGGGGGTGTGTGTTTATGTCTGTATATAGGTGTCGGGGGGGCCACGGTCAGGGGGGAGAGGGTCAGGGTAGAAGGGTGGGAGGGGAGGGTATTGGGGCCCACGGATCAGTTTCGCACTGGGGCCCCATGGATTGTGTGTACGCCACTGCTGTTCCCAGAATATATAACTCCGATCTCCATGTCATACCTTCAGATGCAGAAAAGGGTGTGGTAAAATGAGGACAATTTACAATGGAAGTACGCTACAAATCTTTGGAAAGCAGCCTGCTTCCATTAAAAAAAACCTGTGTATTTAAAATGATGTTATATTTGTATTCCTGGACCCAGCAGCTGGTATACCAAAGTGCCAAGATGACATGTCCATTGTTTAACTGCTGGAGTTAACCCTGCTGATCATAGGAGGTATCTTTCCCCTCCTCACTCAGAGAAAGCATTGGCTGGTAGGTTATTTCGGAGACTGTAAGTATCTCCACCACTAGAAGAATGCCCAGAGGGAGCTTTCCCTCCTAAGACTGATGTTTCTGCTTCTTTAATTTCCATTGCCCTTTTATAAAGTTCCGCTGCCTTTTCAAAATCACCTTGTTCGTACCTGTTGAGATAAAGAAACATTATGTTGAGGGCTTCTCATACATATTCAGCGTTTGGTCTCATTTTGCTCTATTCAGAGATTTACCATCAGTCATACTAATTGAGAAGGATGTACATTTATTATGTATTAAAAGCTCAAGGCTAAGGAACTCTATATTTCTTACGGAAATATAATGTACATTTAATCCCATTCCTCACAATGAAATAGTTAATAAAAGAGAATGATTGACTAAGTGATGGCCAATCTCATTTTCTTTCACTTTTCCTCAAAGATCCAAACATCTGCATGTTTAAATAAAAATGTAAATAGGTTGGTGTAAGCTGAACCTGTCACCTACAATGAGGTCAAAATCTATATTTTAATTATATTGAGATGGATATGATGCTATGAGCCTCTGACAAAAATCTCAAAATCTGGCCCTTCAGCAGCCAATCACATAATGTCGTTACATCAGTCTTGGACCACAGTGATAGTATGAGTGTGTGGTAGCTTCCCAGTCTCAGCCAATCATTTGTTTCTGAAAGTTGTATGACTTTGGACAGATAATATGGAAGTGTAGAAGAAGATTTTTGGGGTTATACATTAAACCGTTTAATAAATATGGGTAAATAAAGAGAAACAAATAAAAAAAAACAGGACCTACGCTCAAACTCCTATTACTCTTGGGCAGCAGCAACGACCACAGTACACATCAGCCCCAATACATAGCGTAAAAACAAAAGGGAAAAAAAGCTCCATTGAATTAATATGCTGCTGTGATGTTTTTAAAGAGGTATAGGCAAAGAAGGGATTGATTTAAATTTGGTTATTGAATAAAAATTCGTAAACATCTTTTTATTTACCAAAGGAAAAAAAAAAAAGGTTACTTGCGCTCTTCCCAAATCCCTATGCATATTTAAACAAATGGAGGCTATTTAGTTGCTCTAGTGGCCATGAGAGAGTTTAGCCCACCTGCCACATCAAGGCAAACCTCTCAGGTGGGTCCTACACTGACTTTTTCCATTGCTTCCCTGAGCTTCTGGCAAAAACCAAATTTAAATCAATTCCCTTCTTTGCCTATACTATATATATTAATTCAATGGAGCTACAAGGAAAACAGACACCAGCAGCATTACCTTAAAACAGCTAAATTTTTTAGTGTTTCTCCAACCCTAGGGTGCACTCGGCCCAAGCTATCTTCATAGATCTTCATGGCACGTTCATATAGAGGTAGAGCCTCCACTTGCCTTTTCTGTAAAGAGAAAAAATGTAGAGTTGTACATAATCTGCAAGTCTTTGAAGATCATTTTGCACATGATAAGTGTATTCTAATCTTTAAGATGGCTGCCTGCCAGAGTTCCTTCCTGTACTCAGT